GAAAAGGTTTAAACCTCGGCTGGCTATGGTCGAGTTTCCTTGCACACCGTGGAGCATCCTCCAGAGGAATGTGAACTATAAGGGAAGAGAAGATGAGCTTCGAGACCTACAAGAACAAGACCGTCCTTTCCTCAAGCTCACGGAGGATGTGTTCAAGATTCAGGTCGACCATGGTGGTCACGCCATCGCTGAGAACCCTGCCACAGCAGACTCGCAAAAGCAAGATGAGATTGTACGACTTCGCAACAAGTACTTCGAGACCACTTCTTGCTTGTGCATGTTTGGTTTGACTGGCAAGGCAGGGCTACCTATGAAGAAGCGAGTGAGGTTCATTGCCACTCACCCCTACTTCATCGAGGAGCTGGACAAGCAGTGTGATGGCTCGCATGTCCATGAATTGGTTGAAGGTTCCAACACAGCAGCTTCAGCCTGCTACCCTCCTTTGTTGGCTGATGCAATTTGCCGTGCCTACTGGAGAATTGTTGTTGAAGAAGACTTTGGAACCATGACCCTCAACGAGAAGGACGATACCAACACTGCCTGGTTCGTGGACGCCGACAAATCTGAGGACAAGTGGCGCCCCCTCTTCGATGACGCCATGGAGGTGTTGGGTAGGAAAACACAGGCTAGCATCTTTCTTGCTCCGGACTCCGAGCTCTATGCCAAGATTGCCCGTTTGGTCCCTTGGCAGATCATGAACATCCAGATAGCTCACCTGCCTAAGGCTAAGAGAGTCCGACCTGGCTTGGAAGATTGTCACCGCTGTTCAGCACTCCTGTTGAACGACGACTCCATTGTGCTTGAGACGGAGTTCTTGAAGACTGCTCAGGCACCAAGAGAACGTTTTGTGCAGCCGGTGCGCCTGGCTATCTTTGTGCTTGGGTACGCTCCTGGTGACCCAGCAGACCCTGCTCCACAACAAGAACCTCCTCGACAACCAGTGCCGGTTGAGCCCCATGACGATGGTGCCCTACTAGAACCAAAGGAGTCTCCGGTCCTCACCAAGCAGACCTATGCAGATGAGCAATGGTTCATTGGACCGCCTTTGACCAACAAGCAGAAGAAGTTGGCGCCTATGTTAGTCAAGGTTCACAAGAATCTGGGCCATCCTGCACAACCTGACCTGACAAGAGCTTTGATACAAGATGGAAAAGTTGAGCCCGATGCCATTGAGTTGAGTCGAAGACTGCGCTGTGGAACATGTGAACGTTCCAAGAGGCCTGGGATTCCTAGGCCAAGCTCTTTCAAGGTCATTGGCGCTTTCAACAGCAAGCTCTGCATCGACTTCGTGTATGTCACCGACGCCAACCAGGACAACCACGCCTTCTTGCACCTTTTGGAGCCAAATGGGTCTTTCAATGTCTTTTGGCCGTGTGACACCCGCGAACCTGGCCATGTCTATGACCTGGTGACCATGCTGTGGTGTTCATGGGCCGGCTACCCAAAAGAGCTGTGGGTTGACCAAGATGGTGCTTTTCAAGGCGAGTTTGCCGAGAAGATGCGCAGCAACGGTGTCATTTTGGACCACCCTCCTGCAGCTGCTCATTGGCAAGTTGGCGAAGTCGAAGCTTACAACCGTGCTTTCCAACACCTCGCTGCTAAGCTAGTGGATGAGTTGAGCTTGGCTGGAGAGCGCGACATGAAGACGCTCGCATGTGCAGCTGGAGCTGCCATGAACGACAAGATTAGATCCGCTGGCTGCTCAGCCTATCAGTGGGTCTTTGGGAAAAACCCCTCCTTGCCTGACGACATTTTGTCCCCAGACGGCAAGTATGAAGCTTTGCAGGCCATGGAGCTCGATGATGAACTCCGCAAGAGAAACCGTGTTCGAGCATTGGCCGATGAGAAGCTGGCAGCCTACAGATTGAACGAAGCTGTCAGGGCTGCGATACTTCGGAAGTCGCATCCCATGAAGGAGACCTATGACCCTGGCGAGATTGTTGCTTTCTGGCGTGAAGCCCGGTATCGGCAGGGGAAGAAAGGTCAGAAAGGGAAACGCATTCCTGCGGCATGGTACCGTGGTACTATCATTGGACCACACAAGGGCGACAGCTCCACCAAACAGAACAACTTCTGGATCTCTTCTGGTGGTAAGTGTGTGCTTGCAGCCCGCGAGCAGATTCGCCCAGCTTTTGGTACCGAGCTATGGCCAGTTCACGAACACCTGCTTCAACAAGTCCAAGATAACCCACCGGAGGAGTACTATGACATTCGGTCTTCACAACTTCCTCCAGTACCTGAAGACGACGACTTGGAAGAAGTGCACGCCGTGCCGGTGTTCGAGCCGGAAGAGGAGCTACTTGACCGAGCCCCTGAAGAAGATGAACAGGCCATGAACGCAGAACCTCATGAAGATGGACCTCCAGAACCAGGTGAAGCTGAACAGTCCCTTGGTTCTGACCACACTACGTTGGCCCCTGAGACTTCCACAAGAGCGCCTGGAACACCTGTGACGGGCATCATCCGCCCGATGGAACAGCCACCAGCTGTCAAGAAGCTACGTGTGACTCCAAGTGGATCAGCAAGTTCTGCAGCAGGAGCAGCACCACTACAACTGGATGTTGAGCTACCTGCCGCCTCACCTGAAGTTGCACGACACACTGAGCTTGTTCTGCGAGAAGACCACTGGGAACTACTTCCTCACCGAGGTCTACTTCTCCGACACCACCGACGTCCTCGACGAGCTCTTTTCGACCCTGGTCATGTACGTCGACTACCGGTTCATTTGGATGCTTTTTCTTCCCGGAGAACGACCTGGATGCGTGGTCGAAATGGATGGTCAAAGCATGTTGACGACTGGGTCATCAACTCTGCCAAGGTGATGAACCAACCCTGGACAGGTACGACCATCTTCAAGCTCACCCTGAAGAACAAGGACTTCGAGGCACATACCGTTCTCGAGGTGGACAAGCAGCTCACCCGGAAGGAACGGAAGGCTTTGGAGAAGGAGTTGCCTTGGACTTCAATCCCGGAGGAGCAGAAGCCTTTGTTTCGTGAGGCTTTGGTTCGTGAATGGACTACATGGCTTCGCTACAAGGCTGTCGAAGTGCTGGACCTCGCCTGCAGCAAGCATGTGGAGAGTCACTTTGACCCTGCTCGCATCCTGGCTTCAAGGGTGTGCTACCGAGACAAGCACGCAGCTACACCATGGCTGGAAGTGAAGCCAAAGGCACGTCTTGTATGCCGTGGCGACCAAGACCCCGATCTTGTGGAGCTCCGGCGAGACGCGCCGACCATGACTCGTTTGAGCCTCATGCTCATCCTGCAGCTCAGCGCCGCCTGCGCTGATTGGTTTTTGGTGTGTGCTGACATCACAGGTGCCTTTTTGCAGGGAGACCAGTCTTTGGCGAGGCGGAAGGACCCCTTGTTCATCCGACAGCCTCGTGAAGGTCTACCTGGCCTACTTCCTGGTCAGTTGTTGTTGGTGGTTCGTGGTATTTTTGGACTGGCCAACTCCCCCAGGTTGTTTTGGCGCTATTTGCGGGATTCCCTCATCAAGCTTGGCTTTGTGCAGTCCACCTTGGACAAGGCCGTGTTCCTCTTCTACAGCGACCATGAACTTGTTTTGGTTGTTGGGGCACACGTGGATGACCTTTTGTGTGCTGGCAAGCCTGGCATTGGTGACAAAGTCTTGGACTCGTTGCGCTCCCAGTTCGACTTTGGCGAGTGGAAGGACATTCGCACCGAGCCCACCTTGACCTACGGCGGCAAGGAGATCACCAAGCGCGACGGCATTGTGACCTTGTCCCAGGAGTCCTTCATTCGCGCACTGACCCTGACACCAGTGCCGAAGTGGAGAGTGCTGATGAAAGATTCCAGCCTCACAGCTCAGGAAGTCACAGAGCTGAAGAGTGGTGGAGGATGCCTACACTGGCTTGTTGGACAGACACGTCCGGATTTGGCGGCAGGGACTTCGTTGGCCATGGGAGGACAACCTACTGTCCAGAACCTCTTGGAGATCAACCGACTCCTCCGAGATGCCCTGAAGTCCAAGGACTGGTGCCTCAAGTTTAGGCAGATCCCCTTAGAGTCCGCCAGAGTCATTGGCTTTTCCGACGCGAGTTGGGCCAATGCAGACGATCTGAAGAGCCAGGCGGGCTACTTGATCTTCCTCACCGGCCCGAACATCTTCACCTTGGAGGGCGATGTGGCCAATTTGGTCGAATGGCGATCCCACCGGATCAGAAGGAAGTGCCGGTCAACGCTTGCAGCCGAGACCATGGCTTTGGACGCCTCGACCGATGCAGCGATGTTCACCAGAGAACTTTTTGGCCGAGATGCTGATCGAAAGCTACATGCCGACGCAGTCTGGCAAGTTGGACCCTAGCATCCTGCCTGTGGCGAACGCCACCGACTGCCGGTCCCTCTACGACCTCCTGTGCAAGGATGGCCCGGTCAGCTCGACCCAAGAGAAGCGGCTCACGCTTGACATCGGAGCCCTTCGTGAAGCTGCAGAGGAGATCGAACCCTCCAATGAGGACATCAAGGAGGTGTACAAGTGGGTGTCGACCCAAGTCCAAAGGGCCGATCACCTCACGAAAGTGAAACCCAGTCACGAGCTTCGTGACATCCTCGACGAAGGACACCTCTCTATGGTGGCTACAGCTGACGCTGCGGTGGCGACCTCTCCTTTGCCTACCAGCCGCTCCATGCAGCTTTTGAGTCGCGTAGCTCACCTAGCCTCGAAAGTGACACACTTTTTCGTCTTTAAAGAAGATAACCAGTGCAAGAATTCCAAGAGTGCGTCACGATCGAGCCGATCGGTCTAACCCCATTTTCGCCGCAGGGCCCTTGAGCTGTCAAAAGTGCGCGAGCGGCGCCTTTCCCCCTTTTTCCATGACGTGTGAATCCGTCTAGTTGCACCCACAACATACAAAAGTCAAACGACGACAACAACAACATGATTAAAGCCGTCATGTTCGGTAATAGCGCTTCGGGACGTTCCAGTCGTCGACCTGAGACGGGAAAGTGGTGCTTCGACCGCTCGACCGCTGACCCAGGTGAGTCGGATCTTCCTGACGCTGTTGGAGGAGGAAGAGATGCTCGGCGCCGGGTTCACGCTGCGGCCCGCAGCGTGCGGGTCGCTGCGTGCGGGTCGCAGGTCTATCCCTTCGGGGTGCTGGTCGCCAGGCGAGAAAGGAACGGAGGGACACCAAGGACGGAACAGGACGCCAAAAGCGGCGGACTGCTGAGCGCCAAGCGCTCTGCTGAGTTCAATGTGCCTGTGCGTGTCAATCGATGTTTTGGCGGGATAGGGATCGGTGATGGTAGATTCCTGCAGGAACGAAAGAACCCCGCCTGCAGCAACCCAGAAACCTTTGCGTTCAGTCATGCAAGTACCACAAGTGAGTTTGATGGAGCAAACATGTCAAAGTTGCGATTGAATTCGGAATTGTAGAGATTGAGATAGATGGACTATTTACAATATTTTACAATCTAAGAATGGCCCAAGAGTCATAGCAACACTTCTTAAGACCCTGGTTGTCTAGCAGGAAGGTACTGTTAGCAACGTTTTCTTCTCCGAAAAGCAGCACCAGTATTCTCCTGTGAAGCATCGCCACCCAGGAAGTACAAGAAAGACCCCACGGCCTGGGTGGAGCAGCAGAAGGGAGCTAAGCCGTCTGAGGCACACATGATTTTGGTTGATCAATCAAGCTGTTGTTTTTGGCTGATTTCGGATCCGCGGATGTCGATGGGAGTTCTTGTGACGGTGGACGGTGATCTTGCGCCAGGAATCCAGATATTGTGTTCAGTTATATGGCTGGAAGGATGCATAATATGGATGATTACATAATGAAATTCTTTCGGGCAATCCCCCAATTGCTGTCAGTACAGAACTCCGACAAATAATTTGGTGTTGATGAGGCCGGGCAGGCCGTTTTCGGGCCGCTGCTGGGACCCTACCCTTCGGAAATCTAGATGCACTGCATCTGCATAATATGTTGAATTCCTCAACTGATGACCTTAGCCAAGAATTCCGAGACTGATCTCATCCTGGCCAAGCCTGCCTTTGTCCAAGCACTCTTCAGCACATCGGAGTCTAAAGCCAGAGTTTTGCAAATCGATTCACTGGTGGCAGGTCAAAGGGAGGATTTTGTCCACCGTGGGTCCTCTTTCGCACGGACGCTGTGGACAGTGGACGGAATCCAATAGCACCCGAAGAGCTCTAACTTAAAGAAAACCTTCCTTTGGACTCATCAGGGAAGTGGAGTTCACCACCTTTTCCCTAGGCCTCCAAGGACCTTAGAAGGCGTTTGGGGTGGGTTTAGAGGGTCCGAATACCTTCTAAGGAGGTACTTGGAGCCCTAGGGTTTTGATATTCGACACATGGTCATCCGAACTGGGGACCCTTTTCACGACGATTCCGAGTGGAGTCCTGCGGCGGTTTACATAAACCGACAGCTGAAACCACGGTTTTCCTTTGGTTTTCCGAATGTCTTGAATGAAAAAGCCTTTAGAACCGTAGCGCCTCAGCAACCTTTGAGAGGTTGAGAGGCCTTATGGAACCCGTTTTTGAGTGTTACATGTTGAAAAAGGGTGGCATAGGCGAACCAAAAGGACTTAACACTTAGCACTATTTGCTCAGATGGGCCCTTGGCAGCGGATGAGAGCTGGCGAGCTGGTGGAGTCCGAGGAAGGCGCGTCAGATGTTTGATACATGTTGAATCATTTTGACACTGTATGTCTTCAAGAATCGTAAAAAGCAAATTGCCACAAAATTTCACAGAACTGCCAGTCAGACAATCACCATGAGTCAAACGAGACAATGAAGGATATATACAACAAAGGCTGACTGGTGCGACTTGTAGGGAATGAGGGAATGACCCCTCACTGATAGATACCTTTAGGATCCAGCCACCCTCATTCCTTACTAAGCACCAGTCGTGTCAGTTATTTTGGGATATTTTGGGCCCCGGTCACATCTTCACATGTGTCCCTAAGTGGCCAGTTCAAAGCCACCCTCAAAGGTGGTTGCTCTCTCAAACTCATGGCTGAACACAAGGGTGTTGAGCTGAACGGCCTCTTGAAGAAGGACCAACTTCATGCCCCCGGTGGACCACACGCATTTTGGCCATGCCAACATTGTAGAAATTGTTGAATACAGCCACCCTTCAGTCAATGACATGAGGTGTTCCACTCCGCTTTGTCGTCTACATGAAGTCATGAAGACCATTGGGAGGCAACCTCTTGGAGTGTCTGAACTTGGCGCTGAATCACTTTGACCAGCACCACCTGGATCGAGACCTCAAAGTCAGTGGCCAGGTGGGAGGGTCGACCAACTGGGCAGAACGCGAGTGGCGAAGCAGAGCGAACCATGGCGAAGCTTGCGCACTTTGATCAATTCTGGGTGGGTTGCGGTTGAGGGTGGAAATGATCTTGCAGGTGGAACATGGTGGAACTCACAGAAAGCTCATGTCTTTGTTTGCTGTATGAAGTCAAAAAGATACTAGTACTCCACAATACTCTTATATATATACATACGCAAATACATATAGGATGATAATATGGTAACACATGTAAATGGTATTAATATTGTTATATAGATTTATATACAATATATATATATAGTACACCGTTTGTGGCTGAGCTGTCTTCCAACCTGGCAGGTGGTGGTCATCATGACCGCAGGCTGTGGGCTCATCCGGACCCGCACCAAGGAGCTCTACTTGTTGACGAATCGTCGATGTGCCGTGGCGGTGCCGGGTGGTGCCGGGTCGGCTGTGTGGGGCATGGGGGTTGGTCTACAGCCTTCAGAGGGTAGAGTCAGGCTTGAGCCCCGAGACACTCCTGGAAATGGAGGTTGGAAGGGGGGTGGACCAAGAATTGGTGTGAAGAAGGGTTGAAGAAACTGCGCAATCGTTGCATTGAGCCTTGAAGGAGCCCTGGAGAAAACAAAAACAGAGCACATGCAAAAAAGATGGGTGTGTTGGACAGTCTGGCTACATCGGATCAGCAGTGCTCCTCACAGGTCAGAGGTGAGGACAATCGAACAGATGTGTGTCTTCAAACACAATTGGCGCAGCTTCCCTGCTGTGGTTTCAGAGGTTCGATGCCACAACCCCAAGGGTGGTGGTTTATATGGACCCCCATTTGTCTAGGACATCTTGAGGTGTGCGCCATCTACTCCGAAACCACCGTCACTGTAGGTGTTTGGTTGGAATTGGGTGCCCAGTTGCTTAGCCCTTATGAACCGGTCAGACATCACACATCCAGATGTCACCCTGCCACAAAGAAGCAGTCGCTGCCCCGCAAGAAGCAATACCCATGTTGAAAGCTACAGACTCAGACTCAGACCGCAAATCTGGCTTTTCCCTCGTGAAGGCTTTCACAAACCCCATGAATGTCAGGTACCAGGTACCAGTGATCATAACCTTCCAGGGAACTCGGCTCTTATCACGTCCTTCCTCAGGTCGTTCTCAGGTCCCAGGTGACGGTGAATCGTCAACATCGCACCAGATCTGAAGAATGTAGACTCTTGATTAAACAGATCAGTTAGTATATACCCTTAATCAGGAGTCTACATTGCATCTACAACCAAGTTCCAACATACGATTCCATAGCATCGGTCCAACCAATCCGCCTGGACACCCTGGACTTGGTTCAGCTCAAAACAGGGCTCCGTCCAGTACGCAGCATAAAACAGACTTGGTTGGATGATGGCAACACAGTCACTTTGTTGTATATAGATTTCTGCACTCCACTTGGTCTTAAATAGGACCAATGCATCCTGACCACTTGGAGGCCATCACACGCGCTAAACCGTGAGGCAAAAACCCGTGCCATCCCGGTTTAGCTCGTACCACTGCATTCCCTCCACAATCTTTGTGAGGATCCGACGCCCTCCGCATTCCGCCATCCCGTCCGAAGACGAGAAACCCCGAGGTTTGGCCGCTGGACACGCCTCCTTCCAGTTGGTGGGCGTGAAAGATCCTCCGTGGCACCGTGTGCCCTGGGTTCAATGGCCAGGACCCGGGTCCGGGTCGAGACGACTTATACTCAGGCTGAAAAACAGCTGAAAAACCCACTGTGTGTGCTTAAAGGAAACGAGTCACTCTCAAGGTGCCACTCTCAGAGTGCCATGTGAGTTTCTGGAGTACTGTATAGTTCTTGAGACCTGAAAAGCTCGGGTTCCGAGGACCTTCACCGGGAAGGGCGATGTAGCATATGTATGCAGGGAGTTCGAATCACTGTGATGATGTTTTCTCAAAAATCAGGTTACGATTCCTATTTTCAACTTCAGCAGTTCAAAAGACATACATTCCAGGACCATCCTGTCTCGGTGTCCTGTTTGATCCCTAAGTAGTGTACTAGTAATCATGGATCCAGATATTTCAAGCCTCAGTCGTCCCCACAGCACCTCGCCCACCACATGCTACTCACAGGAGGACCCACGCTGCATGACCTGGTGCTCCCGTCCCAGCAGCTGGGCGTGCGCACTGTCGGGGATGGTCCACGCGGGACTTCGAAGAAGTCCGTTTCCAAACAAGCACCTGTTGGATTTCAGACCCAGCCGGTTTTTCAGACCCAGCCGGTTTTTGGAGCAATATACACACCACACACCACCCACGTCGTGAAAACACGTTCGCTTGGAATGAAGAACCGCTTGGTGTGACCCCCAAAGCCTTTCGGTGGAGAAGGTCCTTTCCCTCTGCCGTCGGGGCCGTCGGGAAGGGCAGAGACTGAGTTTTGGGAAGCTGAAAGACCTGTGGGCAAGGGTAAGAGCAGCTGAACACCAGCGAGGTGCTGCAGAGGCGCCCCACAAGCCATCAGTTTGCGGGAGTGCTCATGAAGATTCATGTGGATTCTTTCAAGTTGGCCTGTTTTCAGAGAGGTTTGGTTTGACTTTTGTTTTGCACTGCTTAACCCGGTTTACAGCAGTCAGGGGCGTTTTCTAAGAGAACTTGTATTTATTCCACAGGTCACGAAAGCTAGCACCAGCTAGCTGGAGTTGTCCTTGCTTTAGCAAGTGAGGGGCTGGAATCCTCGAGATCGCCGCATCACGTGAAAACTTCATATGTAGGTGCCCCCCCCGTGGGTTCAACTCCCCCCTGGGACGCCTCCGGGACACCTCTCGGGCACCTCTTATGGCATCCACTTTGGTTTAACTCCTCCGGGATACGGTGCAACAGATTCAACAAGCTCACAGGTTCATGACATCGACATTGATAGAAGAAAATCATGAGACCAAGTAAATCATGCAAGCAGCTTTGTTTTGCCTCTGGGACACCTCTTGGGCACCTCTTATGGCATCCACTTTGGTTCAACTCCTCCGTGGAGGTTTTGGGATACGATGCAACAGATTCAACAAGCTCACAGGTTCGTAAACACATCGGATGCATCGAATAGTGTGGCAAAGTCCAGCCACGCTTCCTTAATTATCGGGGACTTCAATTCTAAGGTTGGCTGTGTCATTGCTGTTTGTGTGTCTTACATGTTCACAACGTTTTACCTCATGAGCATTTGCCTCAATCCGCTTGATGTCCCACCAGTCCGGATGCACCCCTGCTAGCTTTCGTCACCTACCCTCGGCCTCAAGTTGGGTTCTGGTCCATCGCCGCTCCCTCAACAAACTCTCGTGTGCTTCTTCGCTTTGCCTCGCTTCTCGAGGCCCATCGAATGGGAGGGCGACAAACGCTTGTCACCCTTTCCAGCTTGGCTCTCTTATATCCCTTACCAGGCTGGGTGAGTGGAGGCACCTGTAATAAACTTTATGCACACACTCACCTTTGCCTGTGCCTATATCATATATTACATACAATATATATATATAATATATATATATATATATGTGTAATTAGGCCTGGAGCTCCGGTCCATGGCCACCTTTCTTTGTGTCGGTGAGGTGGCGGTGGCCGGTTTTGTCGCGTACGCACGCTTATACTCCGACCGTGAACTCCAGGAGTATGGCTGGAGTATGGCCGTTGTTATCAGGCCGAGATGCTCCCAACAGCCTTTGGTCCCTCAATATCTCAATATCCCTCAAAACGGCTCTGAGACTCCAGACCTCTGAGTCGAAGACGAAACTGATCTGTTCATAAATTCAGTTCCATGTCTATGAGGTTTTGATCATTAGAGGAGACCCCCCTTGCCACCTGCTACGCAGACCTAAGATTTGTTCGGATGGCATTGCTTAGGTTGAAGATTGGTAAATTTAACATTGAAAAGGTCAATTGAAACTGATGACCAATCTAGGGAAACTGATGACCAATCTAGGGAAACTGATGACCAATCTAGGGAAACCCTTCATGTGTTCAATCAAACTGTTTTGGAAGCTGCCCCGTTCAAACCTTGTCTTGGGAAACATAATGACAGCTGTAATCTTATTGATCTTTGGCATATGTGTACCAAGACCCAATGCGGAGATTCTTGTGTGGCGGAAGTTGCTATAGAATGCTATAGACACTTATAATTAGGTGGGGTCGGGGGTGGCATGAAGCACCGTTTTCTTCACATTCCCTTTTGCTTGATGCTTTTTGGTGTGCAAACCAACTTGCCGAAAGGCACAGCGCTGCCTTCAGCAGCGTCGTTAGGAGGATTTTTCCCCACGAACTGACTGAGACGAAGAATCAAGTGCTCAGACCGTTGGGGGACATGGAGTTTCCCACAATCAAGGTGTTTCTTGATTCTTCCTCCTCGATGTTGCCACAGAACACACGGACGACCATGGGATGGCGTCCAACGGAGGTCCTAACCTATACATCAGTTGTAAGTCCCGATTACTTTTTCACAGAATTCTTCAGCTCAGCTTCACCTGTCACAGGAGGCCGTCTTTTGCCCATGCTTGGACAACAAAGAGCCCTGGCGTGGGAAAGGATGCCCAGACACTCCATGGGACTGGAATATATGCATGCATCGGCCCTCGTCAAGCACCCCAATCTAGGCAAAATATGGCATACCACTCGCTATTCCGCTTCTGTAGCAGTTTGATCTTGCTTTGCTTCGTTCAGTGGCGGCGCTCGTGTCAGATCCATATGTTTGTTCAGGTCGGAGTAGCGCATCCGTCGCACTGAAGCAATAGGATGTTAGCTTTGTTGCCCGACGTTGGAACCTTGGTGGGCAGATGCTTTTTACTTTCACCTACCAGCACCCTCCAACAGGTCTCCTTTGGAGGCTTGTTAGGCCCTAACAGGTTTCCATTGGTGACCTGTTGGAGGGTGCTGGTATAGAAGGAGTTAGAAGGGTACCAGTGAGAGGCAGAATGCTTTCTGCAAGATCTACCCGAATCTACAACTGTTTGAGCTGAACGTGGAACAGTTCGGCGTACCACCATCCTCTTTCTACAAGATGTGTTTTTCCCTTTCCTGCTTGAAATGTGCAACTTGTTCTTTGAGTTTCAGACTTGCAACAACAAGCAACCACCGAACAAAGGGTCGTTTTTGGTGCATGTATAAGGTAACTGTATATAATACCCAGACACTCCATGTATGCCATATATGCCTACATTGACCCCCCAAACCACCCCAACTGATCGGCATATATGGCAGTCCCAGACGGGTCGTGTTTGGGATAGGTCTTTTCCGCCACTGTTTGCGTGGAAAGCATGGCGTCTCAGGACTGGGTCAAGGCCGGCTTCCTCCCGTTGTTGGATTCAGCTCCTGCGGTGGCGTCGACGCCCATCCCCCGCTGGACCAATAGCATTTGCAGCCTGGAGGAACAGCCCAAGCGCGCCAGACAGGAGTGGTCAGCGGAGGCGGCTTGGGGCGTAGCAAAGCGTGATCACCCAGTTGAAACATGTGGAAACAACATGAGGAAACTGAATGTTTTGGGTTTGTCCGATCTTACCTGTAACAGTCAGTAAAACAAGCAAATCACTACTTTTGGACAAGTCCTCTACTAACCAACATCATCCACTGTTACAGGTAATAGGATAGACCCAATGAAAACAAAAAAGAGACGAACAGTAGATCATGTAGATCCTTTATGACACACCTGGGTGTTGTCCAGCCAATTTGGAGATCGACCAGCTTTCGGAGTTGGGGTAGTCCCGTGTTTCTCGTTGGAGATCAGTTAAGCATGAATCAAGTTATCAGTTTCTTTTCCTGAGAACCAGGTGTTTGCGCAGCTGCGAAGCCAAGCGCACATAGATCCATGAAAACATGCTATTTTTGACACATTCCGACGCCGTGGCAGTGATAGCGTACCTTTTCCATGGCTTCGCATGGCTCATATAGAGTTTGTTGGCTCCCCCGGCAGATGAAGGGGTGGAAGACGGGGAAATCCAAGCGGTTGAGCCGCTGGGTTGGGCCGCTGGTCGTGGCTTAGACGTTGGGCCTCGGAAAAGCCCAACGAACACCGAGAGCCGCCTTATGGGAACATGGAGAGTCGCCTTCCTGTGGCCCATGCCACTGAACGGGCCCGGTTTGAGTCAGCATGTCGGACGGGAGAGTTCTTGGGAGTGTCAGGTGGCCGCCTTGCAGAGTTGTTTTTTTTACAGGATCCAGTTGGCAGAAGGCGGAAGGCAACTATGCCGTATTTGTGTGAATCTGAAGAGGGTCCTTCACACTCCCAATGACACTGGGACGAACAGCAACAAGCTCCATTTTCGTGCCACACCAACCACACCAACCAGACGCCACTCTCTGGTCTGTCGGCTCAGTCAGACTCACAGGAGGACCGGACACCCGCGCAGGAAATGCCGGAGCTCTCCCCGAAGTCCATGCCCAGCTTCCCCGACACCGGCCCTGCGCCGCTTGGGTTTGACAAATATGCAAAAGAGTGGTGGCATAGGCTTGCACGTCTGCATTGTGATAAGGATGAGGCATCATGTCAGCCTGAAGCAAACGTGGCGTGACATGTTATGATATGGTTGTTTTCTGGTGATGTCAAACTTGACTTCCCTCGGGTTCATATTTGGATGCTTTGTGCCTGGCGGCGGCTGCGCTGCAACTTTCAGAATGGCAAACAATTGTGTTCAAACAAACAACCTTCCAGATTTCTTGTGGAACGGTGTCATGTGCCACCGAAGTTCTCAAGTCAGAGCTACCATAGGGACCTCATTTGACACCTTTGTGACACATAGACCGGATCCTCCTCACAACTCGAGGACCAGTGCTCGATCGGCATCCCAGACCGCACGCGAGGCTGCGCTCCTTCCGGATCTCGTCCAACCAGAAGACCTGGGACGAGATCAGGCGGAGCACGGAGCACGGTCGAAACGCGCGGCGGAGCACGGACGAAACGCGCTGAAACGGTTCGAGTCGGCGGAGTCGGCGGAAGATCGTATCTTCCTCGCCGGAAGTGGACCGGGACATACGAAAGGCTCGACGAACTGGAGCAGAGCAGGTGCAGCTGAGGAGGTGCGGAGCAGTCCATGCCTGCTCACTGGACTCTGAAAGGTTCTATCAGATTCTATCATTTGGATAGCTAGCTATTGCTCAGGAGGGAGCTAAGGAGCCAGGGGCATCCTATTCCCCATTCAACAGGGAGCCGAGGAGCTACAAGGAGTTCCCCAACCCCTTACTATATAGATAGTCATTTGGGTGTTTAAAGGCCATGAGTGACCATGCAACTCAGTTGGATTTCTCGGGATTCTCCGGGAATACCACAGCGATGCGCACATTTGTCAAACTGGCTGATTGATTTGATTGACTCGGACGCCTTGTCTCCTGTCCGACAACTGCGCGGTCACTCCGGCGTTTTCGGTCGCCGCTCCCCACAGCCCAGCCGCGTGTCGCTCATGGGGACGCCCCCAAGTATACTGCATTGTACAAGCTATAGATAGGTTAGTTAGGTTCATAGAACCTAGTGCATTATACCCACAAGTCATTGCTTTCCCCGGCAAGTCAGTGGAGATTCCATGAGATTCCGCCACAGGCTGCCGCGCCTGCGCGCGCATCTCAGTAAGTCCAAGAAGTCCTACCACTGCTACGCCCCCGCCGCATGCCACGAGCGGTTCCGGGGTGAAGTGATACCGTGGCTGGGAGGCTGGGGAGGTTGCAGCGCATTCTGGGTGAGAACTGCTGACAATGCAAAAGCGAACGTAAAATGTCAATTCAACTGCACTCGTTTGGTGTTTGTGTGTGTGAGAAGGAGTTGGAAGATCGTTGTCCAGGATCAAGTTACCGGACAAAATAAGGGAAACCCTGAAAACCCCACATGCATCCTGACTGGTGCCCCGACGCAGCCTTGCATACTTTGATGTTTTTTGTTTTGAAGTGCTGCAAAGTTGCATTGCTGGCGCAATCAGTGTCCACGATTTTTCGGTACACCGTTTACACCGTCTACACCGTTTACACCGTTTACACCGTCTA